CTAGGTCACAGGCGCACCGGTCGGAGTCGACCTGTTTGATCTTGTAGAGGAAATGCCTTAATCCTATCCTTATAGTGCGCATCTGAATAATAATCGAGGTGTGCGGCTTACTGAGATGCTCGCAAAGCTATAGATTCTTCTTGTTTGGTTTAGACAGCAGCTGCCTCGTCGGCCTGCCTATTTTCTGTCTTTCCCACTGCTTTGTCCACTCCGTACGCAAGCGTTGGCAGATATCTCTTTTAACTGCAGCTGCGAGCCGTATAATTGGTCGATCCCGCGGCCTTACTGAGTTTAATTTAACTCCTCTTATCGCAGCCTCCTTGGCTGCCTTGTCCGCCTTTTCGTTTCCTTCCATTCCGATGTGAGCGGGGATCTAACGCAGTTCAGCATCCTTCAGGCCCTCGCTCCGCAGGGCCCTAATCCTCCCGTAGATAGCCCGCAGTGCGTACTAGCCCAATAGTCGGCTAGGGTTGCGCACGGCTTGAATAGCTGCCTAGCTATCTGAGAAGACCGTGATTGGAGTAGGCTTCGCCCGATCCAGGGCCATTCGGGCCCCTTCTAACTCCCCCACGTAGACTGTAGAGTTCAGTTCCGTTCCTAGGTACTTTCTGGCGGTCCTGTCTGCTCGAATAGAGACCGCGGCAGTTCCGATCATCCCCTGATAATTGCTTCCATCTGTATACCAGATCTGCCGGTCCTCGCGGCAGATTCTATCGTAGGTCTGAACTGCCTCCTTTGCCCCCTCAGTGATATACCTCAGGGGTAACTCCTACGGGGCTAACACGTGAGCCCGTCTGGTCTCCCATTCCTTCTGCCTGCCGCCGTACGCATATAGCGGGCCTGTTTTCTTCCACTTCAGCACCTCCATCGGAGAGTATCCGGAGGCCTTGAATGCCTCTTTCGACCTTTCCCAGCGCAGCCCCCCGGGGCAGGTTATAGCCGGCCCGGTTTGGATCTGAATGGCCGCCTCCTGAATGGTTTGTTGCATCTGTATTCGTATAAAGGGGAGGTAAAGCTCTACCCCCAGTACGGCCGAGGCCGTGTTACAAAACGCGCCACTGATAAGAACAGCTGCGCGGGTTTGAATCCTCTTGAATTCATTGTCCGTCTTCTGGAGCCTCTTGTAGCTGACCGTCCGGCTCGTAGGGCTATACCAGGCAGCCGCCCCGTAGAGTAGCTGGGGGACTACCACTGCCAGGTAGATGCGGCGCATGCTCAGCAGGGAGGTCCCCCAGGTCGAGCCCGAGATGCTGCGGAGGGCTTCCAAAGTCCCGTTCGCCTTAGCAAGGGCCTTAGCCCTTCACTGGGTTGAAGAAGGAAGAAGGAGAAGACAACGATTTACTGCATGAAGCAGTAAACAACCCCACTGTGTAAGACAAACGAATCAAACAATGCAAACCATGCAAATACCCTGAGTAGGGCTACACTGCACGCTCAGGTCGTGACATCCTTTACATGTGGACGCCTAGAATGGGATTTTTTCAAAGAAATCACTTTACATACCATAAAAGAGAAGGATGAAGCTCGTAAGAACATACACAGAAATATCATACCTGAAATGTTAATCAGAAAAATAAATACCAAAAATGGAAAAAATATATCTATCTAACTTACATGCCAAACTAATTCAAAAGAGAATTTTTTTTTTTTTTTTTTTTTTTTTTTTTTTTTTTTTTTTTTTAAATATAAACAATCTTCTTTTTTAGCTCTTCTTTAACTCTTTTATCCGTTTTAGTTTTTGAATACTTTGACGAACCTGACAGTTAAACTCGACTGGCTGACAAACTTACAATATAATGTTGGGAACCTGGATATAGTTGAGGATAGCTAAGGCTACGTTAAGTGACATAAGTAAACTTTCTTTGTATCTTACTTTTACTTTTGTTTCTGTCTTTTGTGTGTGTTAATGATTTTCGCTTTATCCCGTTCTTATTGATTGGACATTGGGTATTAGAGGGATACAATATATAGCTTCTATTAAATCTACTGTTATTCTATATTTGTTTGTTATCTTATCTGCATTTCCGTTCCCGAATAGGCAAATCGAAAGAATAAATAAGCTAAAAAAAAGCTTGTATCTAAGCTTCAGGATTAAGATAAAAAAAATAAATTTTCTTTATCTCTCTCTATATCTCTTTCTCTCTGTTGTGAGCGGATCAGCAAACGAATTAGAACTTTTTACAAGTAACTAAACTTGACTTTCTTCTTTCTAGATCCTAGAAATACATTTCTTTGATTATAAAGCTAGACAGGGTCCTACTATTTACGCTATTCTATTTTATCCTATCCAATACCGCATATCCTAGACAACCAGCGAAACAAACATCCAGACCAAGCAGAAAACAAACCAATAAACACAGACCCGTCTACGGCAAGCGATAGCGGCCAGTCCGCAACCAAAAAAAATCGTATAAAATCGCATGAAAAATGGCTAAGTCCTTTTATCACTTATTTGCCTGCCTACTATAAGCAGTATAGGCACTAAAAAGACTAATATAAAGTTCCATAGGATCCTATTTTCCAACCCGCATATATAGTACTATACAAATTTGGGCCAAACACACTCACTAACGATCCTTCTCTGTCGAAAGTAGTCATTGTGACAACCTCAGAAATGAAGAAACGATTTTTATTGTAGGCTAGTCACGAAACACTAGGTTGAGGAAAGAAGAAGAAGAAAATAGCAATTTACTGCTTGAAGCAGTAAACAAACCCACTGTGTGAGACAAACGAACCAAACAGTGCAAACTATGCAAATACCCTGGTATAGGGCATTGCTGCATGCTCAGGACGTCACAGTCGTGCTCAACTTATAAAAAGAAAGACAGTGTATAGTCTATTCTATAAGTTAAAAAAAACTAACATAGAATCTCTACAGGATTCTACTATCTAACCTGTTATATATAGTATTATATTATGTTAGGACGAGCTTACACGCTGTAAATCTAACAGCGTCTAGTAATATAACTATATTTATATAAATTCAAGTTATCTTACTTATTTAATCATTATAATCACCAAATAAGCTTATTAAAATTAAAATAACTTTATTAATTATACTATACATATTACATTTAGTATCCGCGCTGTGACTGCATCCCGCGCGTAGGTCGTCGTACGCAGAACGCTGAGCGCAAATAACTGAAAGAAATACTAAATTAAGGAGCTCTACCTGACTTTATATAGTATTATATATATTATTCTAGGCAGTAGAGCTCTATATGGTTTCTATACTAGTCTTTTTGGCTCTTGGTAGTGATCAAGATTGCCTTCTGCCGGCAGAATTTACGATTTTTTTGGTTGCGGACTGGCCGCTATCGCTTGCCGTACGGGAGGGTTCCCTGTCGATCTGGCTAATATATTGGGTGAACTGTTAGTAATAGTCCTGAAGATCAACCCGGGGAGGTCATGGAGGACCTCTTCTAGACCGTGTCCGGTACATGAAAAGCAAAAAGTATGGACCATTTGGTGGAGCATGGGGATGAATCATCCTCGCCCCTCCCACCATCAAGCCGAAGCTTGCGACCGTGATTGACATCCGATAGTCCGTCCCGAGGGGAGGATCACCCGCACCCGCCGTCCAATTGTTCGGCCGCGAAGCTCGCGGGTCAAGCATTACTGGATCGGAGCTTGGGTTGCCCTGTCGGGCATCCGGATCTACATATCTCAACCATCAACGCAGTGTGGCAGGTTTCATTATGTCACGGATCGCGGGTCAACATTCGACAGTGTTTCGAATTTCTCATTTCTTGATTGTGGAATTCTTGCCATCCCACTACCCATCTCTATTTTCTCCCCCTCAAGGTGGGTGGCTAAGATGGCGTGACGGTGATGACAACGCATCTAGGATAAACTACCGAATGTACTACCACTCCAACTATCTCCATCATGGCTTGGTGATTCTCCACAACATCCATGGCGGTGACAGCAGGAACCATGAAACATCTTCTAGACTCCTAACAGACCAAAAAAAAAAGGGGCTTCCGGGTCCACCAACTAGTGGTGGTTTCCCTTCCTTGAGGGGATGATTCTCCTTCCGGCCATCTTTATCTGACCTCGGCTACGAAAATGGGTATCGCAAGCTTCCATTCTTCGATTGCTCAAGGCCACGTCAACGTCGGCGAAATTATTCCAAGGGGGGTAGGGCTTTCCACGCCTCTCATATCGTCATCTTTCACTATTTGGGAGACAATATTCATGCCGGTTGAATATGGCTGACCAGCCTTAACACAAGGGGAGAAAATTTCAAAGGCCTTGGACACCGGGGCAGATCATGTGGGGATGATTATGATGCGTTACCCTGCGAAAAGAGGGCTTGTAGATCGGGACGACGATAAGCTGAGCTTATTGGCATTGTGTGGTAACGGACATGGAATAAAGCTCAGCCATGCAAGGGGGTGTCGAGGGTGTCGAAGGGCATTGTCATCCCTATAGCTTGGTTCGGAGCCCGTGCTACCCAGCGGATGCCCTTGGCTGTATCCACCGATGCGCGATGACCCATCTGATTCAGGGCCCTTTTTGCCGTTGGAGATCAGAAAATTGAGGAACTTGGGTGGAAAATAATTTTCTAAGGAAAAAAAAAAAAAAAGCAAGGGCCAACATACCAGAAATATCCATCTGTATGGACGCGCGTTGTCTGCCAAAATTAGGGCGAATTATCATCATGATCAACTACGACGGCGATTTTTTTATTGGCAGTACAATTATTATTTTTTCTTCTGTCCTACTGTCCATTTACTTATTTCTACGACCATGGCTGCCTCATTTTCGTCTCTATCTTCTCATGCTTTTCCTTTGAACCTTCACCCCAATAGTCTTTCCCCCTTTGCATGATCACCATGTCACCACAGACCACCCATGATTCGGCCGTTTCTTTGCCCACCTCTGATGCGAGCTTCACCGAGAAGAAGGACGTCCATGTTGAAACAGCATCGATCAGACCAACTGATAGCAGTGATGCCGAATTGGGAGAGTCGTCTCAGGATGAGGATGACAATCTCGTTCATTGGGATGGTCCCAATGATCCTGAGAACCCGATGAATTGGACGAATTTCCGGAAATGGTTGACCATCGCCTTGATTTCCATAAGCAGTTACAATGTGTAGGCAGACCTGTCACCCTCCTGATCTTCATTGTGGCGAATATGTCATACTGACTCTTCCCAGTTCTCTGGTGTCCACGATCTTCTCACCGGCCGTGCCTGCTGTCCAGGACGAATTCAACAACCACGATGACTCTATCTCTTCGCTTATGGTCTCGGTATATGTTATGGGAGCTGCTATTGGTCCTCTCATCCTGACACCCATCACCGAAATGAGCGGAAGGTTGCCTATGACCCACGCGGCAAACTTTCTTTTCTTAGTTGCCGACATTGTCTGTGCTGCTAGCGTCAACATGCCAATGCTTATCGTTTCCCGACTCTTCATGGGTGTGGCTAGCTCCGTCCCAGTGACTGTGGGAGGTGGCTTCGTTAGCGATATGATGAAAATGGATGAGCGAGGAACGGCCATGACAATATGGACCGTGGGGCCTCTTCTGGGTTTTGTGACTGGTAAGCATTGTGATGATGAGCTTGCAATCTCTTCCACATACTTACACACCTTAACAGGTCCTATCTTTGGTGGCTACATGGTCCAAAACGTTGGATGGAGATGGACTATTTGGCTTGAGGCCATTGTCGTAAGTCTTCTCAAACACTGTCAACCAATAATTCCAAAGCTAATGTGTCTGAACAGGGTGCAATTGTTGCAATTGCGTCGTTGTTCCTTCTCCGTGAGACATACGCACCAACTATTCTCCAGAAGAAGGCGATGAAGCTACAGAAGGAGACGGGTCGCCACTACCGTACCAAATTCGAAACGGGCCAAACTGCCTGCCAGATGCTGCGGGTTTCACTGACCCGCCCGATCAAATTCCTGGTTCTCTCGCCCATCGTCCTGATTGTGTCTCTGTACAGTGCTGTCACCTACAGCTACATGTACATTCTCTTCACAACCTTCACCGAGCTTTTTGAGTCGATGTACAACTTCTCGCCGGGCGAGGCTGGTCTCGGCTACCTGGGCATCGGTCTGGGGTTCACTTTCGGCCAAATCACGGTTGGCTACTTCTCGGACCGCTACGTGCGACGACAAGAGAAGATCCACGGCAAGATGAGACCTGAGGACCGTCTGCCGCCTCTCGTCGTGGGATGCTGTCTTGTTCCCATCGGCCTTCTCTGGTACGGCTGGTCAGCTGAGTACCACACGCACTGGATCGTGCCCATCATCGGTACCTTCTTCCTGGGCGCCGGTATCTACTACGTGCACCTGGTGACGCAGGTGTACTTGGTGGATGCATACACGACGTACGCCGCCAGCGCCGTCTCGGCGGAACTTTGTCTTCGGTCGATCTTCGGCGCCACCATCCCCCTTGCCGGCACCCATCTGTACAACAAGCTTGGAATGGGCTGGGGCAACAGTCTTCTGGCTTTTATTGCCGCCGCATTTGCGCCCACTACTCTTTTCCTCCTGAAGTACGGAGAGAGCATCCGGACCAACCCGAAATTTCGCCCCAACATGGACTAATTCGACCTGATTTACTTCTCTTCGACCACCCTTATTTCTCGTTCCTCTTCAACTTCTCTTACTATCTTTCTCGTTGTTATGACATCCAAAAAAGATTACTGCATTACTAGCGTTTGGGTTGGCGTTCCGGAACCGACATGACTATCATCGAACGTTTTTTTCTTTTCTTCTCAACTTATTTTTCACCTTCGAAAGCAAGCACTCATAGATGCGGGGTATACACTGGGTTAATCTTTCTCCTATTCAACAGATCGGATAATCTTCTGGGCCTTTCCTTTACTATTCATGTATATAGTTTACTTCGCCCATTATGGGTAGACTGGATTTACGCAGCGTTGACGTGGTGATTTCTATTAGACAAGCGAGCACAAATATGAGACTTCCAAGAACATTTTCTTCATTTACAACAATTTTTTCCCCTGCAGTTCAACCATGCAAAAACAAAGCAACACATACCAAAAGCCACGTCTTAATATTGACACATACATAATCACCAATGTACTGTACACGCTATCGAGTATTCAAGGGAAAAACCCCGAGATGAACGACCCCGCAGATCCCAATCAGAGGTTCATACTTGATAGACTGCGTCATCAAAGGCAGGAATCCAGGACTCTGAGTCTAACATGGCGGATCGACAGCAAGCACAGATCCCAAGAATGTGAAATTATGTCCTTCCCCGGAACCCTGACTGAAAGCTAGGAAGCCAAGAAACCAAGAAAAAAGGGATCGCCCCATAGCTAGTTACGTACTCCATACAGTGATTGGTAGGTAGACAGGTAAGAGGGACAAAAAAGAAAGAGGCGGATGAAAACGGAAACCACCAAGTCACAGAAAGGGGTAAGTAACTTAGGTACGGTGGTTGGTGACGAAGGTAGGCAGGTTCATGCAACGCAGTGCCGTGCCATGCATAATATAATTAATATTACATAGAATGGCTGCAGAGTGCAGCAGGACCCGCCGCATGTATGAAACCGGGTCATGTTTTTGCACTTTGTGCAACGGCGTGCGTCAGCCTCTCTCCACCCGGCATTCCAGCCTTGTCTGGGGTTTTTGGACCCTGAAATTAATATTTATGTGTGATGAGATCGGCGGCGCTGGGAGGGGCTGGCTTTGCTGTAGGGCTAGGGCTCATTGTTTATCGTTCTGGCTTGATTTTGGGGTTGGGAGGATCGGTGGAGTATGACGTGGTGGACTTCTTTTTGGCTATCAGTTGGGTTGAAGTTTTGGGTGTATTTGAGTGTTGAAAGATAAAGTATGTGTTGTTGTTAGAATTGTCATCATAAGCATGTGTGTGTGCTCTGCTACAATGACTATTACTATTTTTGTTTTCTCGTCGTCATAACTAGCTAGTATGCTATTAATCCCCGGTGACAAATACATGAACGACAAAGTCTAGAATCCATACCGACTCCTAATCCAGCAAGACAGGCACAGGCCTAGACTAGGCGTTCCAGTCACCAGTTTCGGAACATTACGCCCTGCAATATCGAATATATTATCCGTTCGTACATACATTGCACAGGGTCCATTTGCTGTGTACTGTGCGCTTCTCAAGGGGGAGATGATGATGTTTACGTTTACTATTTTCGTCACTGTGTTACGGACCTCCTCCCGGCCAAAGTAAGGATGTGATTTGAATCAGGAAACTATAGATTGGAACACCTCCACTGGATCGACTCCGGATGGCAGTCCGTGTTCAATATTGGATTTACCAAGTTGATAGTCGGTCGGTCGGCGCTATTCCTTAGCTAGTGTGGGTCAAGCTTTGTGGCTTTGCTTGAGACTGAAGTGTCCAGTTGTATACTCCGTGGTACTCCATGCAACACAGGGCAATAAACGCAAGCAAAAGCATCAATTGAGGACTATGATGAAGTTTCCATTCGGATATCCTAGATTGTGTTGTTCTGTGCTATTTTTGGAGCCCATGTTTACGGTTCTTTTCTTGTTTTAGTGAAATCCGGGTTCACGGGAACCTGTCAGTCCTAGATTACTAGACATCTACTTGGTTTGCACGAATATATAAAGTAAGGTGCTCATGGGTTTCCCTTTCTATGAAGAAATCGGACAGATTCGAGAAATGCCTGAAAATGAAACGATTGACTCATCTATACAACTAATGGTGTATGACTAGATCTAGGGCAGCTACTTACCCTTATAGACAGTAAACCCACGATACTGTCTATATCCGTAGTGTCTTCATTGGCTTAGGTTCAAATGCTCTCTAAGGCGAGACACACGCCCAACCACCCAGCCACCCCTTGCATTCCTCAAAGCTGGGCTCGTCTCGTGCACTACCATCACGACTCTCACCACCACGTACGTACTTGTCTGCATAGCGATTGACGGAGGATCCTAGCTAAATCACAGAGTCATGCATACGGAGTATACTGCTCTTGCGATTCATCATCCCGTCTTCGCAGTATCCGTAATCATGCAAGACTCACCCCGCTAAGAAAACACCACTCACTCATACCACCAAGTCAATCAATCACCCAACCCCTTCCTGAGAATGAAGGGGCAACAACTAGGGAGACAGGGAGAAAGCCGCGCCCACTGACTCGAACCTAAAGAAAATTAACCAATTAGTCAATCGTATATCCTTCCCCTCCCCTCGTTCTTCTCGGTTGAATCCCATCCCTTCCTACTTCGTCCTCAACCAAATTCCCCTCGGCAATTCCTCGTGGTCTCGGTATGTTCTGTTCTATCCTTTGAGGCTCAAGAACACAATGAACTAACTAGAGATATTGTTGTATAGGCATTAGACCTAGTCGCTCTTTATTATCAGTACCTTCACTCTTTTAAACCAAAGAAAAAGACTCAACACGATGAAGTTCACCACGGCTCTTGTTACGCTCTTCGTCTCGCTCGCTGTGGCTGCTCCAGTTCCTGTATGATCTCTCTCCCCTCTTCTCATCCTTGCCCTTTGAGTGCTATCTATCTTTGTGGATTGTTCGATAGATGGACAATTGTAATCAAGGGAGCTACAGTGAGAGAGCCTCAACTAACGAACCATCTACCTCCAGTCCACCAACACAGAAACCAACCAGCCCGAACGCCGCTTCGAAGCCGACAGTCTTCTGTCGGCGCTGGTGAACCCGAAGGCGTTTACCAAGGACATTGACTTTTCCCTATTGGGCATCGATAAGGACGACTTGCCGAATGCGCTGTGAACTTAGTATCAGTCATTGATCGAGGGGAATTAAATTGAACGGAGGAGGTTGAGGATGGACATGAGGCTTCGGTATATGTTGTCGAGATGAGTTATTTGGGATTAATGAGATGAAGGTGTTTGGTTTGACTGTTGTTTGTATGTTTATGTTCTTACACCGGATGTCTACATGTTTATGAAAGGGTGGGTTAGTTGTAATCAATACAAGCAAGAGAACTGGTTTGGTAGTATGAAATTTTGAATTCGTCATTCATGATCGACTAACTAACTAGCTCAATAGCTGCAAGTAGGCTATTGCTAGTGATATTTCGTTCTCGTAATGCGTTGTGCTTCGTCAAAAAGTGTGAAAAAAAAAAGATCTCATCTGATCCGATCGCCATAATCCCAAACATAGACAGTAGTACTTCATCATCGTCATCATCGGAAAGAAAGGCTGAAAACAAGGCAATTTCAAAAGAATGGCTGGGTGGGGTATCCGTAATTATTCGTAGCCAATGGGCATAATCGTTCAACATAAAGAGCAGTGCAGTTGGCAAAAAAACAAAGTCAGCAAGGATATCATTCTTCCATGTAGTCGTCAACCTCCACGCGGGTTCCCAGGGCCTGTTGACCCTCTTTGATCATGGCTTGAAGCTGACGATTCAAGCGACTGATACTAGCGTCTTCTTCGCGCTCGATCCGACGGCGCTGGGCCATGTATCGCTGCGTCTCCACTGAAACGGGAGTCTCGCGGGGCTTAGCGGGCGAGGAAAAGTGCGCTGAGGGTAGCCCTGAAGACGAGGGAGTCGACAAGAGGGTTCGGTTTCCTGACTGTCGGCGACGCATGAGTGCAGAGCCAGCTCGGCGATGGTGAGGAGGCTGGACTCGGCGCTTGCGAGACGACGATGCGGCATTGTCGGCGTTATCTCGTGAGGGCACCATCACCCAGTTCTGCCGGATTTCATCATCTGGATAGCCCCCAGGGACTGGCGTCGCGTCTCTTTCGTGATACATAGGTGATGCAGAGGGAAGCACAGTATCCTGTTTCTCCGAGGGACCCTGCTCGACCGTCATGGCATATCCTTGACCTCCGCCGGCGTAGAATCCCCGAAACGCGCCCGACCAGCAGAATCCCCAGACTTTGCCCACCACGCCCAGCACCGCACGGGTCCAGCGGACCGGGGCGGCGGGGGACATAAGCCCCGGGTTGTAGTCCTCGTGGTGGCCGTAGTCTTCGGGGAAAGCGATCTTCTCGTTTGCAGCGGGCGGGGCCGACAGCAAGGTATGATGATCCCGACGGCTGCGTTTGCGACGGACCTCGCTGGTCTCGGCTAAGGACTCGATACTGCCGTCAAAGGGATGTGGGTGGTAGTCCTTGTAGCGATTTGGGCGATAGTAGTCACTCTCGGAGGGGAGATCGTCAGTCCCCAGATGGGACATGGAAGGGTGATAACCGTCCGGGGAACTGAGCGGAGTGGCACTGATAAGGTCGGTGGAGGGATCAGTCCAGGCACGAGCCCCGGACTCGTAGTGGCGACATCTTTTACGCGAGATGGTACGGTACAGGGCCGACGAGGCGGAGGATCTCGTGGGAGTAAAGATTTGTGAAGGAGGACCGGTGAGATCGAGTTGAGGGGGGATGGGAGATTCGACAAACAGGGGCATTTGGGGAAGATGCAGGGGGGTGGGTTGAGATTTATTTTTGTATTTGATGAAGCTTGATTTGCTGGTCTGCAAGAAGAAGAGAAAAAAAAGAAAGGATGGGAAAGGTTAAAAAAAAATTCCAGAGTAGAAAAAATGGAGAGAAGGAGAGATAAAGAGGAGGTTGGAGAAAAAGACGGCAGGTGATCTCATCGGAGCCTCCAATCTTCTCCTCCCTCCGCCTTCACTTTCTGGACTAGTTGGATTGGATCAGTCCATCGAGAATCTCGATCTTCCGAATACAATGAATGGAAGAGCCATCATAGGTCATAATGACAATCTGGTCAGATCCTCCTGCCAATAGACCTCCGTCGCTCATCTGCAGACCCTCTCCAATTGCATCAAGCAGCATCTCTAGCTTCATCTATGAGTCACTTCATGCACAGACTTATATATTCTGCTCTGACTGGCCGATAGGATTCTATATAATTGGAGATTATCGTCCTGAAGTCCAGACGGTATGCCGAAATTGCTTATATCTGGGTGAAGATACTACTGAACAGAACCGCGGTGAATAGCTATTCAAGTATGGAGTGATGACACCCATATGTACGACGATTACTTTCACACCTCATACTCCATGTGAATCATCAAGGTGAATTGCCTACAACTTCTGACTCCTCCACTGCACTCCAGCTGCCTCCAGTCCCTCCTCGCCGTCCACCAGCACGCACCAGCCTTCGTATCCGCGGCCTCCGTCGCCCGCAATGACCGCCTCGAAGTGACCGCGCGCAAAGGTCAGCACGGCATCGTCAAAAGTGCCTGGCTGTAGCCAGACAGCCGGGATCCCGACCGAGTGAGCCTCCTGGAGGAGAGGCAGCGTTATCCCCGGGGGTGTCACCACCGACAGCGACGTCTGCGACGGAGCCGGCAGCGCCCCCGGCGATGCGACCGTCGCGTAGGTCTGCGAGGGCAGTTGGATGGAGGCGGCGCGCGGGTTCAGCGGAGTAACGGGGAGCGAGTGCTGATGATACCAGGCCAGAACTGATTGTAGAGGTTAGTAGGACCGTTCTTGGCCGTGATGATTCTATGCGACGGAGACCTACTTTTGTAGCCGAACTTGTTGGCGTCATTGCTGGCTCCGGCGACCGCAAACCGCGGAGACGAGAAGAAGCGCTTGACGGCGTCCATCTTAGATTTCAGTAGAAGAGATTTCTAGTTCTTCAAGAAATAAAATCGAAACAGGTCGTACTGAGTTAGTCAAAAGTGTGAGGCGAGGGAGGAGGAGGGATGAACGAGTAAATCCACTGCCGAGGAAGCGGGGAGCCGTCGTCGGTCTCCATCTTCTTCTCCATCTCCTCCCATCAACTTTCTCTCGTTCATTCACCCACACTTTCCTTCGTTTCCTCCATCTCCGCCATTCAATTCATTAATCTCTATCGCTCTCGCATGCCCCCCTACGTCCCTCGTAAGCGTGTCTCCTCCGAGGATCCGCCCAGTGCCAAACGTCAAAATGCCACCCCCAATGTCGAAATCGGCCAACTCGATGACGACAGCTCCGATTCGTCTTTAAGCGACGCTCCCAGCGATACTCCCAAGCCTCCGCAGCCCGAAGAAGATAACTCCGATGATGAATCCGACGATGAAGAAATTGACTGGGAAGATGCCATCGATTCCAACCCTACCGCCACCCCGGCAGCTTCGAATACGCCCGCCCACCTTCAAGACCTCGAGTTAACCCTGGATAAGAACGAGGTTCATCTGCCCGACATTGCCGAGGGGAAGAAAGGTCCTTCAAAGATCGAGCGTCAGATTCGCATCCAAACACATTGTCTCCACGTCCAGTTCCTTCTATACCACAATGCCCTGCGCAATGCCTGGGCAAACGATTCCGAGGTGCACGAGATTCTACGGCGCAAACTACCTCCCGCGCTCCATAAGGAAGTTAAGAAATGGCGCGTCGCATCTGGTCTGGAGCTCCCGGAGAAACCGCCGGAAGACAAGTCCAAAAAAAAAAAGAAGAAAAAGGGAAAGCAACGGCAGGAATCGGAGCGCGACTGGGGCGAAGGGTCCACACGATTGGAACCAGGACAGCCGGATATGAGTCGCGGTGATCCCATCATCCCTTTACTCAAGGTGCTGGCCGCCTATTGGAAGAAGCAATTCAAAATCACCGCCCCAGGGTTACGAAAACATGGCTATCAGCCCATGTCCCATCTTCAGGCGGAGCTATCTTCTTTGCAGAATGATGATCACGATGCGGAGAGACACGGGGAGCGGGTGAAGGATGTTGTGGAGTTTCGACAGGCGGCCGAACAGATGCAGGGCTCGCGAGACCTCGGAGCTCAGCTCTTTACAGCCCTGCTGCGCGCCCTGGACATCGAGACGCGACTCGTTGCCAGCCTACAGCCTTTAGGTTTCGGATGGACTAAATCGGAGGTGTATACACCAAAGTCCCAGCCAGAGACGGCTCCCACAACGGAGACCGAGGAAACGGAGACTGCCGCGGACCCCGAGTCTGATAGCAGCGATTTGATACCTAAAACTTCCCCCAACGGCCTCGGTTCTAAAAAATACGACAAAGACCTGCCCTTCCCAGTGTATTGGATGGAGGTGGCCTCGCCAGTTACACACGAGATCATTTCGGTCGACCCGCTCGTGCTCCAAAATTCCGTGGCTTCGACCCCGGAGCTGCAGGCGGCCTTCGAGCCTCGCGGAGCCAAAGCCGATAAAGCCAAGCAGGTGATTTGCTACGTGATAGCCTACTCGTCGGACAAGACGGCCAAGGACGTAACCACGCGATATCTGCGTCGTCGCACTTGGCCGGGCAAAACTAAAGGGTACCGTCTCCCCGTAGAGAAGATCCCCATACCCGGTCGTAAAGGGAAGTACTATGAGTACGATTGGTTCCACCTGACCCTGCGCATCTACGAGCGTGCTCCTAACAAACGAACCGAAGTTGATGATGTTGAGGATGCAAAGGACCTGGCCCCTAATAAGCCCGAGAAAAAGCCCGCCAAAGAAGGTGACACCCTTCAGAGCCTGCGTGCGTCGACCGAATTTGTCCTCGAGCGATTCCTCCGTCGCGAAGAAGCCTTGAAACCCGGCACCCAGCGCGTCCGCACATTCACCACGGGGCGCGGCGCCAAAGCCAAAGAAGAGAACGTCTACCGACGGAAAGACGTTGTCAAATGCCTCTCCGCGGAGAGCTGGCATAAAGAAGGCCGGCAGATCAAGAAAGGCGAGATCCCATTGAAACGAGTGCCCATTCGCGCTGTCACTCTTCTCCGCAAACGCGAGGTGGACGAACTCGAGCGCGAGACGGGCGAAAAGCCCAAACAGGGTCTCTATGCTAAATACCAGACCGAATACATCATCCCGCCACCTATCCGCGACGGCGTCATCCCCAAGAACGAATATGGGAACATTGACTGTTTCGTGCCCAGCATGGTCCCGCGCGGCGCCGCACACGTCCCCTGGCCTGGGACCGTGCGTCTCTGCAAGAAACTAGGCATCGACTATGCCGAGGCTGTGACGGGCTTCGAGTTCGGATCTAAAATGGCCGTTCCTGTCATCGAGGGCGTCGTAGTGGCTGCTGAGAACGAGGATCTCCTCAAGGACGCCTGGCGCGCAGATGCCGCCGAGAAACGAGAGAAGGAGCGCCGGAAGACGGAGGCTCGCATCCTGCAAACCTGGCGCAAGTTCATCTTCGGCCTGCGCATCGCCGAGCGCGTCCGCGAGGAATACGGGCAGTCGTCTCGGGACTACGAGCAGGACGATTATAATCCGTTCACAAACCGACGGGCCGGACGACCCCCTTCTCCCTCTCCTACAAGGGACTTCCATTCGCTCCCTCAAGAAGAGGAGGAGGAGGAGGCGGATGAGGATCGCGCTGATCGGGGCGGCGGTTTCCTTCTACCCGGTGAAGACGATGGAGACGACGGCGGTTTGATCGTCGAAAAGCACCACGAAGAGCCGAAATTCACTCAATCTGTCAATGATGCGGAGTCAGAACCCGCTCCGGAAGAAATGGACGTAGACGCGGATGAGGATGAAGATGACGATCAAGAAGGCGGATTCGAAAAAGCCGAGATCCCAGACAGCGACAGTGCCTCTATCGAAGAGCTGTCGCCACCACCTCAAACATCATCTGACGATCCCGAATCAGACCCGGAGGTTCAATTCACTGGCTCGAGAGCAAGAAGGACACTGAAGCAGACACAGCAAGCTCAGGCGCAGGAACCGCCTACAACACGCCGACGGACTCGAAATATGACAAGGCGGGGGTAGTTGATTGATGAGCAAGTGCAGCCGTGGCCGATTTTTGGGGGCGTTTCATGCTTCATTCAGGGCACCTCTTCTTTAGAGCTCTTCCGTGTGTACGATTCAAGAGATTCGGCGTTTGTTTGCATTTTTGCATGGTATATCTAGGTTTGAATGGGTGGTGGCGTTTCGTTTTCGGGCTCGGTTTCAAGAGGAAAAAACTTCAGTGTTCCGGAGGGATATCAGGATTTCAGGACATAAGATAGAAGAGAAGGGTACACACAGCACATGTCATGCATATTCCATAAACTAATAGGATTCAAATCCAAATCCATCAACCTAAGCAATCTTCTTAACACTCCCATCTATACTAATAAGCACCTCCTCTATCCAAGAAGACAGTTCTATACTCCCAAACGCCTAATATCTCAATATACCTCCTAACTACCTCCTCCTAAACGAAGGCGATCCAATGCCCACATCCCCAAAATCCTCATCATCCTCTTCAATCATCCCGCTCTCGCCCTCATCACCACTCACCAGTTCAAAATCATCAATAGCTCCAAAATGCACCGCCGGCGAGTTCACCGGACTAGTCGCTATGCGAGGCCGTGACTTGAACACGCTCGCGTAGTCTGCTTCTTCCTTAAAGAGATCATCCTGGGGCGTCGAGGCGCGGCTGATGTCCGGGACACGCTTCTGTGGCGTCTCGAACTGGTTGACGGGGAAGGACATGCGGGAGTGTCGGGGGCGCAGGCTGTCGCGGGGTCCAGGGGGAGGCTTGCTAGAGGATGGGGGTAGCAGGGACATAGATTTGCGGGTTCTTTCGACGAGGCCGGTGAATTTTGGTTGGGGTTCTGGAAATGGGTCTGTCTCGAGTGGAGGGGAGGGTGAGGGTGAGATTTGGACGGTAGGTGATGCAGGAGGAATGGGGACTTCCTCGAGGTGAGGGTGAGGTTCGGCAGGTGGTTCTGAGGGTGTCGGGTCTTGCGAGGACAGCGGAGGAGATTGTATCTTTTCCGTTGGTTCACGTTCCGCAGGAAGATGCGAGCTAGGCCCGCGCCAGGAAGCTGTCCGTCCGGATGTGGCTGTATGTGACGATGTCCCGTTGATGCGAGCCAATGCTTCAGTCATGGAGAAGAGAAGGGACCGGTCTTCCGCTTTGAGGGAGACGCGCTCCACGGGCTGGCGAACGGCCTTGGAGATACTCGCGACGGTAAGTGGCTGGTGATCCCGAAACGCCAGGGGGGATCCGTTCGACGAAGCGGCCGAGTTTACGCGCTCGTGCTTCTGGATGGAGCTGCCGTATTGACGCCATCGCTGTAGACGCGCTCGCTGCAATGAAACACGAGATTCCAGGTCAACTAGGAGATCTGGAGTTGCGCTGGTGGTGAGACCTTCCACGGTGGACTCGTTGGCTTTGGACCATGCGGTGCCGAACGGGAGTTCCAAGAACGTATCATTACTGCTGCGAGCGCCACCGTAGAGCAGGGCGTCGGCCCATTCTTCGCTGCCGAGCCAATTGGCTTTAGTCTCCCGTGCTGTGCTGTCAAAGTCGACCTGATTGTCTTCGAGCATCGGCGGGTTTTCTTGGGCTCGAGCGTCTAACTGACCCTTCTTGCGGTCCAGGAGCTCGGAGAATTTCTCGTGGGTATGTTGGATGCGACTGCGACGGTCCCCCATCAATCTTAGAGACGCACGATGCGTAATTATGAGAGGCAGCATCTGTTGGTACTCCTGACGAGACAGCCCCGGAGCCATCGACATCCTCATGGCCGGGTTCCGCAAGTCATCATCTTCCGACTCGGCCAGAGCCTTGCGCAAGACAGTCGTCGAGAACACCGCCAAGATCTCATCGAATTTCTCCCCTTTGCAGTCATCCAGCATGGATTTCCGCAGGATCGTCTCCCGGCCTAGTTCACCATTCTTCTTCAATTCGGACAGCACCCGGAACAGCGCCGCGCGGAGGTTGACCGACTGGAGCGGTTCCAGCGGCGGGAAAAAGGGACGAAGTTTCTGGCATGCTGGTCAGTTCTGACGATCCAATTCATGCACGAAGATCCATATCCCGGTAGCATACGTCTCGGGCGGTTTCCGGGTCCCAGATAGCCACCAGCTGATAGAGGGCCCATTCGACGGCCTTGATGCGCTGGCGTTGTTGGGTTTGCGATGTGGGCGATAAGGAGCGGACGGTGATTTCGGGCCAATCAACACGTTGGTCGAGTTGCAAGAGCTGCAGATTGCGAACGAAGACGGCCAGATGCGACTGGGGAGGCCAATTCGGCGCCCTGGGTCGGAGAGGGGCTCTGGACGACTGCATTGTCGGTAGACCCTGATCTATCTCCGAGTTGGTCTCCGCTGGCGTTGAACTGGAGAGGAGGGGGATGGATACCGGTAGAGGTCGGAGTACGATTTGTGGCTGGTCATGGATATGACTCCGGACAATCTGATCAGGAGTCAAAGGGTAAAAAGGCCGAGAGAAGAGCAGCGCATGGCGATTGTCGAACCAACAAACTTCCTAATCAGGTGTCGATCAGGCCCCGAAGCAAAGGCGGCGATCGGCCTTCACCGCCTTCCGCTTTCTTTTTCCCCGCAGAACTACTTTTCTTTCTCTTTTTGTCTTATCTCCCCTCCGCCGTCTCTCGTTCGCCCATTGGGGATTTCATCCTGCTCATTCTTCCTCTTCCATCGCCTCGCTCCCGTCTCTTTGACTCCTCCACCATCATCATGGGCTCCCAAAACCCCTCCAACCCTCTCTGGACCACTCAGTCCGGTAAAGACCCCTCAGGGATTTCCTCTCCGATAAGCCAAGAATGCAAACATGCTAATCAGCCCCCTTAATCCAGTGCTCTCCACCCTCCCTCACCCCCCAGAGGAGAACTCCACCTCTCCTGTCCCCTTCTTCCATCTGCTCGAACGCCTGAAGACCACCAAGCGCGAGGGCTGGCGCCGGTTCGGCATCACTTCCGGCGAATCCATCTCCGACCACATGTACCGCATGTCCGTCATGACCATGCTCGCCCCGCCAACGCTGGCCCCCCAAATCAATTTGCCGCACTGCATGAAGATGGCCCTGATCCACGACATGGCGGAGTCGCTGGTCGGCGACATCACGCCCGTCGATAAGGTCGATAAGTCGGAGAAGGCCCGTCGCGAGGCCGACGTGATGGACTACATCTCGAAGAATCTGCTGGGCGCCGTTCCCGGCGGCATGTTGGCTGGCACGGACATCCTGAAGGTGTTCCAGGAGTATGAGGACAATGTGACGCTGGAGGCGAAGTACGTGCACGATATCGACAAGATGGAGCTCCTGCTGCAGATGGTGGAGTATGAGCGCACGCATGACTTGGATCTCTCTGAATTCTGCCACGTCGCGAGTAAAGTCCAGTTGCCCGAGATTAAGGAGTGGGCGGCCACGGTGTTGCAGGAGCGCGAGGCGTTCTGGAAGAGCAAGGCGGAAAAGGCTAGACAGACATCTGCATAGACAGCGTTATGTTTTAGGGGCATATGCTTGCTTGCTTGCATGAGACTCATGTGTTGATGGCGTTGACGTTGCATTATCGTTACGAGTTTTCTTTGTGTGCCGTTGCAAATTGTTTTTGTTTCCATTTCACCAAATTGGTGGCGGCGTTGGGTGAGCCATTCTAGATATTAGATACCATCGCGATGTGATCCCGATGAATTGGGTTGGTTGATACATAGATAAGTGTTTATAGAATTCAATCAGTGGTTATGTGCACGTGTGTGTGTGTGTCATTATCAATGTAGTCATCACAGGTATACGCCATGAGCGCAGCCAAATCTATCCATCTCTAGCCGTCTTGAAACTCCCCTTATGTAGAAACAGCTCATCCAATCCACTCTAATCAATCAATCAATCCAACGCCTCTCTCTCCATCTCCCTCTCCAACATCCTCGCCTCCTCCTCCATCTCCTCCATACTCCTCGGCTTCCTCTCCTCGTTATCCACGACCGGAAACCTCCTCCCCTGACCCTTCTCCTCCTGCTGCTGCCTCTCCCTCTCCCTCAAAGAAGCACCCACATCCCCCTCCTCCCCATCCAACATATCATACACGGCGTCCGTACCTCCCCTATGATCCAAATCCGCCCTCTTCCTCGGAATCACATGCGTATGCACATGCGGCACGCTCTGTCCCGCATCCACCCCGTCCTGGACCGCGATGTTGAGACTACTCGCGCCGTAGACGCGCTCGATCATGCGGCCCACGCGCCGGACTGTGAGGAAGAGGTCGCTCGTCTCGGAGGGCGTGAGGTCCGCGACGCGCGAGACGACGCGCCGAGGCGAGATCAGCACGTGGCCGGGGAGAATGGGTTTTAGGTTCACGAGGGCGATTGTTAGGGGGGTCTGGTGGAAGACCTGAATTATGGGTTGTTTCGTTAGTGGGTGCATGAGTGGGTGGATTTGGAGGGAGAGGATAGGTAATGGGGAGTTACCTGGGAGGTTACGAGAAAGGGACCGAAGTGGATCGGGGTGCCTTTTAATGCGGCGGACATGTTGGTAGTGTCGGGGATGGAGGAATTGGTGAACATGTATGTTTGTATGTATATTGTTGGTAGTATGTAAGTATGGAGCTTGGGTGCCTGGGGGTTGTAGATTGGGCGATGAATTGTGTTGGCGGGCGGAGCTCTTCCGCGGAGAAGTTGGCGGTGCGGATTTACGTCGCTGCAGGCAGTCAGGCAGATCTCCACATCAAACTATCCCCGGTGTAAGTAACGGATCAAGACCAGATTAGAGGTATGGGTATCATTAATCACTGAAGTTAGGACTCAAAATCATATATATTACATATCGGTACCCTTTTCTTCATCCCAGTCCGTGAAATGAATCAACGTCATCAAAATCAACATCACGAATGCAAAACAGGCATCATTATTAAAAGCATAGTACAGGCACATCATATGACATCAGAAGCGAAAAGAAGGTGAAAAAATGCTTGTCAGCGGTCGATGACGTCTCAGGTCTCCTTGGCCGCGGCCTCAGTTTCGGTTTTGTTCTCCTCCGGTGCAGTGGATGGTTTCTCTGGCTCCGACTCCGACTCTGGTTCTGGTTTCGAAGTTTCAACAGGTGCAGCGTCCGCGCTTTGGTCCTCCTCCGGCTTCGGTTCCTCGGGACTAGGCTCGGTCATCTCCTGCTCCTTGTTCTCGGGCTCATCTTCGGGTGCCTTGGGGGCGTCTTCATCCTCCGGGACCTCAGCAACGGTGACCTGGGATCCATCGGCGTCCACTGACGTCTCCTCACTAGGTCCCGACTGTTCTTCGATGACGTCTTGTTCAGGGGCCTCCGACTGGGGCTCGGGCTTCTCGGGTTCCGACTCAGGCTCTAGTTTCTCCTCCGGCTCTGGTTCCTCCAGCTCCTTCTGAGCAGATTCGGTCGCCGCCTGCGGAGACTCTTTCGGATGCTGCTCATCGTCCTCGGCGCTTTCGCTAATAGTCGTTACCCGCGAGCTGGTCGAGGGACTGTTCTTATGGCGTCGTGTGGTTGCGCCCGTGCTGATGGATGACGGCTCCATAGCTTCCAGCGAGAGGTTCGGGGATCCGCCGCTGTCCTTCCGCAGGATCGTCAATCGACGCCCATCCGGCTGTTCGGCCGGCTGGTGCACATCAACCCCCTCCGCTTCCGCAGGGATCGTGTAGTTATCTTCTGGGATCAGACTGTACATGTCACAGACGGTTTTGAAGAAGATGTAAAGTCCGTCGTGACCCTCGACCTGCCAGAATACTTCACGATGCTGGAACCACGCGTGTGCAAAGATACGGTAGAGCCGACGGAAGATGTTGGTCAAATGTCTCATACTGGCCGACGGCCCGCCGCCCGCCTCGGATCCCAAGGTCAACCGACTGGGAAAGTATTTTGGCGACGTAAGGACAGTGGTTGCCCAATCGAGGGTATGGCAGCAGTAATCAATGGCGCAGCAGGACTTGGGCGGATCGTGGACGGCGCAGAGGTATTGCCACTCAGACGCTCGCATCTCCGGACAGGTTGAGGCAGAGCAGGGAGGGTTCTCGGCGAAGAAGGCGATGATCAGGTTGTTGACTTTCATGGTCAGGAAACGGCAGAGCTCGTACAGCCAAAGCGACCGGTCGATGCCCTCGGGAGGTTCGGCAAGCTGAATCGCAACATCCCGGCTGATCGGAACAACAATGTCGGTTCCCTCGGGTCTCGTGTAATGGTTGTAGAGCGCCTTGAGATGTTCCTGGAGTTGAAAGGGGGAGTCAAGCTGCGCGTGCGGAGAAAAGACCAGGTCAGCGGGAAATGCGCCTTTTGTTTTTTTGTTTACCACTGTGAACTGACCTGCGAGAGAGGGATCAACGGAGGGCCCACTGCCATATCCACAGCCTTGGTTCCCGGTCGAATTCTCCGAGTCGAGCCATCGTCGGCACCGTGAGAAGCGCCTAGGTAATGCTCTCCATCCTTGCCAATCGACTCGCCGACCGAAGGAGACTTAGGGCCGATCTGCACCTCAGTAAACGGAGGAGGACTGGGGAGGCGCGGGGAGCTGGGATGGGTAACTCCCGCAGCAGCCATTGTGGAATTACAAAAACGAAAGCTTGAACACAAGAGATGAAAGAGTGAAGAAGAAGGGATAAGAAGTTGAAAAGACTGACGGGGACGGAGGTAGCAACAATAATAAAGGAGAGACGAGCCGCTGATGATGGAGCCAAAGCGGAGCTGGGAAGGCGCCGGCGGACCTTGGCCCATGACCGCCAATGCCCTATGCCCTAGTCGCCCGCTTTGGACGTCACTCCGCATTCTTCCTAACTATAAACATTCTTCTTCCTTGACTACTCCATACTCTTGACCATCTCCTCCACCTGTCTCTCCAATGTCTGCATTACCTCGTGCACCGTGTGATCTGCCACCACACCCTCTTGCCACGAAAACGCCAACCCCATTCTCCCGTCCCGTCCCGTCACCGCGCTGATCTTGACGGCGGCTGAACAGGCACCGGCACTTTGACTGAATACCAGGCTTTGGATGCCATATCGATGAAAACTTCTTTCACTCTGCAGGAATCCCACATTACTCAATTCGAATCCCGCGGCTCGCGGTTTTCCGATCTTGTCGAGAAACCATTGAGCCATGTTCGGAACATGACCTAGATAGCCAAGGGGCATATCGGCACCCTGTCCCTCAACGGCCCGGTCGATAGTCATCTTTGTCCGTCTGGCGTCCTGCCAGACTGACTCCGAGGTTCTTCTGTATTGCTCATTGAACGTTCCGATGTAGCAGCCCATCGAATGACTGGTGATCGGCAAGGGTAAGAAGTGGCGCAGAGACATGGCAGAATCCCCTTTTATACTCGTATACTCTTCCGGTAGGGCATGGAGGAAAGACCTTGCGATCAGCGACATCAGCAAAGCCGTGATAGTAGTTCTTTGGTCCTTGCACTGTTGCTTCAAATCCGCTAATGTCGCCGAGGGGATCCACATGGAGGAGACCCTCGTGCGAACTGGCAGGTTCTGCGGAGCCCCACTCCAATTCTCCGGAATATTGGGGCTATCCTGCTGCTGGCTGGCAAGGTATCCCGGTGAGACTGACAAGTTGTGGATGGCTTCTATATTGGGTAATAGAGGGGCTTGGGATGCCGCGACGACTGTGACGAACGCGCCGTCTCCTAACTTGGATAGTTCGTTCTCCAGGTCTTCGTGAAAGACAAGAGCACTCTTTGTGTCTGCCAATGCATGATGAAAACAGAAACACAGAACGAACCCAGTATTATCACTCCAGTCTTCCAAGACGCACACCCTCCAGAATGGGGTCCGTGAGCGATGTTGAAAAGGGCGGTTATGCTGGTCTTCCAGTATCTGATCCAGGGCGACTTTACTGCTCGTACATCCTTGGACCTCAGAAAAACTGACCACTTGGTCTAAGTCAATCTGATTTAAACGGGCGAATCGAGGCCCCGTTGGGATATCCACCGGAACAGCTGAGAGGATCGGATGCTTTTCAATTACCGCGGCAAGGGCACGAAACAACGCTGGCTTTAGGGGTTCCTCATCTTCCCTCCGGTAGATGGCCGTCACGCAGACATTGAGATATATGCCCAGATGACTGCGGAATGCAGAGTACTGCTCTATAGGACCTTAATTTGTTCAGCTTACCATACAGCGAGATTTCTGAGGGCCACTCACCTAAAGGTCGGCAACGACGTAGGCTATCCTCCGAGTGCTCCATAATTAACGTACAAATGCAATAGTAGATCTCCGCCCGACTCTAATCATTACCTATTCTGATCCCTCCGGTCAATCCCAGCAGTTATATACCATAAACACTCGGCCCGGGCACCCGTTCGGGTCAGAGAGCCGAGTCACTAAGAAGAGCGGGGTGACGTGCATCGGGCGGGGAGCATTCATACGATGCATTAGACAGGTAGACAGAGGCCAACCAACGATTCAACCCAGAACGCAACTCCGAGATGTACTCCGTGTAGTCACTAATTATACTCCGTATACCCCACACCAAAAGGTTAAAGCCGGTACCACCCAAACGGGAAACCGGAGAAGACAAGCAGAAAACCCACTTTCTTTCCCCTCCTCCATCGCCTCCCATCTTTCTTCTCTTTCCCTTCTCTCTCGTAGACGTCTCCTTCGTTGTACTTTTCTCAACCCCTCCCCGTCCAGTCAACTCACTATGATCGACCTAGAAGACGAAGACGCTCCCCCCGAGCTTATCGACGTTTCCGAACTCCCGGAGAGCGAGAAACCCCAACCCGAACCGACGTCATCGGAGCTCCCCCGCGTGCCGATCACGCTCGTCACCGGTACGCGTTCCATTCCTCTCTCTTCCATCACCGATATATGTATACGCTTGGTTTGGGTCTAGGAATGCGGAAGGAGGGATTTAGACTGTACAAAACGGGGCTAACGAAGGATTGATGTAAATTTCCCATCTGAAGGATATCTTGGAGCCGGCAAAACGACACTGCTGAATTATATCCTGACGGAGAAACATGGCAAGAAGATTGCTGTTATCATGAATGGTTGGTTTGATTCTCGTCTTCCTTTATCTTATCATCTCTGTAGAAAAAATACTACGCTGCGGTTCTTGTTGGTCCATGTACTAAATCCTCTGTAGAATTTGGAGATTGTAAGCTTTCTCTTCTTCCCACCTCGTTCCTGTCTCCACGTACGAGACAGACTCGTTTCGCATTTGTAGTCGATTGAGGAGATATGGGCTAAACTAGTCCCCTTGTGTATTGGGCAAACAGCATCCGATATCGAAAAGCCTTTGACTGTCAACCAGGACGGTCAGGAAGTAACCGAGTGGATGGAGGTCGGGAACGGATGTATCTGCTGCTCGGTGAAGTGAGCTTTCCCTCTCTGGTTTCTTGTCACAGACATCTATACACGCGCATTCGCGCTAGAGGGAGTGATCTAATAGTAAGGGCAGAGACTCCGGCGTCATGGCCATCGAATCGTTAATGGAGCGTCGCGGCCAGTTCGACTACATCCTGCTTGAGACGACCGGCCTCGCAGACCCGGGTAACATCGCGCCCGTATTCTGGGTCGACGATAACCTCGGCAGCTCGATCTACCTCGACGGGATCGTGACTCTCGTCGATGCCAAGAACATTTTCCGGCTATTGGACGAGCCAGCGCCGGAGGAGAAGGTGTCGAGTCATGAAGAGGACGGACAGCTTCAAAAGACAGCACAGCCTGATGGGGAGCACGAGCACGAGCACACTGGTCCTGTTCTCTCCATGGCCCATATGCAGATCTCGCATGCCGATGTCATTATCCTGAACAAGGCGGACCTGGTCACGCAGGAGGAGCTGGATGCCGTGCGGGATAGGATCCTGGGTATCAACGCCGTCGCGAAGATCCATGTGACGGATCATAGCAAGACGCCGCAGATTGAGGGCGTGGTGCTGGATCTGCATGCGTATGATCATCTGGCAAGTATTGATTTCGGGGAGAAGGGGCATAGTCATATCGATCCGGTGAGATTCTTTTCTCTGCAGGCTATAGTCATGTATCATGCCATATATCAAACTAACTCAACCATGAAAAGGCCATCTCGACAATCGCCATCACCACCCCTCCCATCTCCCCCTCACAAGTCCCCAAAGTCGACTCGTGGCTGCAGTCCATCCTCTGGGATTCCACCCTCCCCTCCTCATCATCTACATCTCAACCTCATCCCACAGATTTCGACATCCACCGTCTAAAAGGCATCCTCGTCCTCAACGACGGAACGCATAAGATCATCCAAGCCGTGCGCGCAATCTTCGAGATTCAGGATGCCGGTCCGATTTCGGCCGCGGGCGACGAGGATGAGAACAAGAAAACACAGTGTAAGATCGTGCTGATTGGACTAAGGCTTGGTAAGGATGCGCAGGCGTGGCAGCGGAGTTTTGAGGAGTTTTTAGTGAGGGAGTAACTTCCGAGCTCCCCTACCAGTTCCCTATAGCGAAGGGGTGTCACGGCGGCAGAAGGCCACTGGGCCCCCGGTTGGCCATACCGTAATGACCAACTTGGCAGCTCTCATGATAACGAGCGCTGTCAATAAATACATAAAGCCTAAAATCTAGATAAAAACCGTCGCACACATTGAATCCAACCCTTGCCAGACCGCTCCATCTTTTGGTTGTTTCGGAGGCCTGGCTACCACGCCCTCCGTTCATATCTTATAGGAGAAGGTACGGCCCAGGCGTCCATCACTGTACCTATCCATTACCAGTAGTCATTACACCTTCAAGACCTTCAACCACCTCATGGCGCCTCGTTCTCCCACTCCGACTCTGACCCTGATTCAGGCTCCGATCCCTCTGGCTCGATGAGATTGGGGTCCAATCTCGCCGTCCTCGCAGGCATCGGAGCCCAGCTAAGACTTGGATCTCAGCAGGGGACTAGCGCCATACGGCTTGAAAAGAGCAGTCCTCGATCCCTGATTTTCCTATATCAATGCTAAAGGCTCGCTATTCGCTGTCATAATTATGCGCCAGATCCCTTGGCGGTAGTATGCAGTGGCTGCCTCTGGTTGCCACCAACACTCCGTTGCCGCGAAGGACCAGGACAAGTAGGCCTTCCAGGTATACCATGATGCCGTTCTATATAGGACCAGCCAGCCCTGCTACTCGTTCCGGCGCTTGCAGGGGCTCACCACTGTCAGTGCTATGAGTTTGTAAATCGACTCCGGGGGCCTCGTGACCCTGCGGGCAGTCATTTGGTCATATACGTCGAATCTCCAAGCCTACTTGGATCGTCGCTCCTACAAGGGTACTGAAAATCCTGCGGTAGTGCCGTCCCTACAAAGACCTCTAGCTAGAACGCCCAGGAAGACGACCGCGAGGCCTACTATCGACCCGGGGATAGGTCAATGAAAATGATGGCAAACGAGCTCAAATTGATAGTTAGTTAACTAGTTAATTGCAAAACAGCTGACTAAGCACGCGCGCAGAAGGAAGGAATCAGGATGCCGCGGAGGAGGGGAAGATGCTTCTCCGGCCGCGTATAGCATTTGTAGTGGCCTTGTATGAGACCCAGTTGTTGGCAGCGGCTTTCATATGCGCATGGACCGCTTCGCGTCGGTGCATTTCTTTCCTTGGCTGGTTGGCTGGCTGGGTGAGGGAGTGAGCTATGTTCACATATCAGATGAATATTGCATGGAGTAAGAGCTCAAGAAATCAGCACATAGCCCAGACAGAGTTAAGACCCTCAGTTGCCATATTCCGGGTCACCATGATTCGTAGCTGGTCCATGTCCCATTTCCATTCATCGTTTCCATCCCGGCCGGAGGGCACTTGACCATTTGGATAGAAGTCTTTTCTGTAGAAACTGATGGTCTGCGGAGCCTGAGGCCCAGCGGCAGACGGTGCCGGAAAAATTATCTATGATATAAAACACACTGTTAATGGCTCTAGAACATTGGTTGTATTCTATCTGTATAACGTACTCCTTCGGGGGAATTGTTGCCCCCAGGGCGGAAAATTTGAGCTTTTCCAGTAACCGTTTTGTTCTTTTGAACATAGAACTTCATGGCCAGGACAGCATTTACGTGGCCACCTTCCAACCATATGTTCCTGTCGCGTACAAGTTTTGCGGATGACTCTGAGACTCCCGACTCTATCACAACGCACGGCCAGGCCATCTCGTTGACGTGGATGAAGGCTGAGTCTGGCTCTTTGTAGCACCCATCATGTGGAGTCTTGAACGAGTTGAATCCTATATATAACATCGTCAGTATACAATTCCCGTACATAGATAAGATAGGATATCAATATACTAACTAACCTGGACTACCCTGGTGCTCGATATCGTCGACTTCCTCATGAGAAAAGAACCCTATACGATCTGCATTCAGCATTTGTTTTGCTGCCCACGCCAAGATAGACTCGTGCAAACGAGACGGCAACTTGACATATAGAGTTTCAACAGAGGCGTGAATGAGATGATAGGCTTCTTTGCTTCGACTTCTCCGTCTTCAGTCAAGCTTCGTGCCACTAGGGCACCTGCTTCAGATGGAACGTTGGGAAACTCAAGCAACCCACTCGGTCCTTGAAAATCAACGATAGCTTTTTTGACGGTGTAGAAGATGTGTTGCGGATTCTGGACCTGCCTGGACTTACTTCTAAGCCAGTATTTAGACTTGGCCGTCGTCTCACCACCCTTCGAGTCCAGAGAAGAAGACATCTTGACTGATGGAAATGAGGACGAAATGGGCGAAAGAGCGATGGTAGTTAGTGAATTAAAAACAGCGGGAGTGAAAGAAGGAAACAAAGAAATCATCCATTCAATATATCCAATTAATACAGCTAAGCTATGAAGAAAATATTATCCACATGAATTCAATATACACGAAGTTTCCAACCAATTCGACACTAAACAAAGAAGAACAACAAAGAATCATGATCCAAAAACAAAGACACGGCAAAATCAAGACAAGGACAAAACTGGCCACCAATTCATAAGTCGTGAAGTTTTAGGTAGAAGAGCAAATAAGTACTCATATCGCTGATATCTTAAGTGGACAGCAAATCGATAATTTGCTTCGGGATTCTTGAAATTGCAGTTGGATCCTCTCGAGAGGAGTGGGTTCGAACCCATGTTTCTTTTCAAAAAGTCAAATCGATAAGAAAAAAAACGGAAACAAAAAGAAAGAAAGAAAAGATCAAGTCCGAGAGAACTCCAGTTTCGCCGTTACTCGTGCGGATGCTCGTTTTCGCAAACTGTGAAGCAACGTCAAAGGTACCTGTACAGCGCAGAAATTGTCAAAGGGTATCGCGCAGATTGGGCCCCATTGGAAGGACCGGTAAAAAAAGAAAGAATCAAGAATCATGATGAACAAGACAATGCGATGATTGTTCGAGTCAAAGGCTAATCACTTTTGGTTTTGGTAGGACGTTTTGGTTGTTGTCGTAAGAGAATTTTGAGGCACATCTCGGTCATACAGGTGCGGTGAATGCTGGGTTGATCGGGAGATGTGAATCGCTAAGGTTAGAGGTATTTTCTCGCAGTATTTGTCGAGAGTATCCCAAGGCCGATCGGATGGTCAATGGTGAGAATCGATCCGCATGAGTTTCCAGCAATTTTTGTTCGGATATGCTGAAGGCAGGGTTAATCGGGAGCATCGAATGTAGTAGGGAAGATACTGAGTGCGATGGCCCCGCCCAATCTTGGTCTCGAATCAATGCATGACTAAAGTCCGCCCCGGGTGCAGAATAGGGATCGGTCGACTGGGTGGCCGCAGAAGACAGCGGCGGCGAGTGATTCGGGGACCTGGGCCTCAGGGAGCATGTCGGGTGGCTGCCCACGCCAACAAGTTGTTCGGATAGAGGATCCATGGCGAACGGCAATAGGTCAGCCGATCGACCCATCGAAGCTCTACGATAGAGCGGATTCATTTCAACATCAAGGTCGACGTCAATTTCGTCCGAAACAAGGTCCGGGAGTCTTTGGCCGTCTTCGTAGTCCGTGAGGGGTGGAGCCGAGTCGACGAACCGTGCTAAACGAGTGGATTCAAGAGAAGACGAGCGTCCGTCTCCATCAATGCCGACGATGGACATCAAGCCCTCCTTGCTATCAACTAGGTTTTCTGGGCCCCTCACACCCATTGCGTCAATTGCACTGTCCCGTCGATCCTCGTCACCGGGCCGATAGCCCTCAGGGGGTAGCGGTCCCAGTCCATGGAAATCCTCATTAGTTTGCGGAGTGTATCCATATCCACCGCCTGAAAGCGCTTGGGGCTCCGCGAAGTCGTTGGGGGCCGATCGAGGCTGCAAGAATGTCGAAGGAGTCGCCATGGCGCGAGGGTTGTACCACGGGAAAGCGCCGTTGTGCAGTCCGAAGCCAACTCCCATATGTCGGGGGTGCACCATGGGAGCCGGCTGCCCGGCGCTTATCCCTGAGTCGCGGGGGAAAAAGTTCAAAAGCTCCTTGGCCGAGAGGCGGTGGCGGGGCGTCGGGCTCAAGCAGATGGATACCACTCGTCGATAGTAGTCGGGGAAGTGTCGGTCTTCGTCCAAAACCAAGGGTCGGGGTTGACGCTCGGGCTCGTCCTCCTCCATTGCCAAAGCCCACAGGGTCATGCCTAGTTGGAAAAGGTCCGTCTTGACCCCGATGTACATCGAGATGCGCTGGTTACTCTCGATCTTTGCAGCAATCTCCGGGGGTTCCCATCCCACCGGACAACCCCGGCGATTGATGTCGATGATTTTGGCGTCGTCGTTGCCGTCCACCACGATATTCGACAGCGTGAAGTCTCCCTGGACGTAACCCGCCTCGTGGATCTCACATAAACCCTGCACAATCTGCCTAGCCCAGCGCTCGCGTCGTTCCCAAGCGATCATCCCCCGGTTCTCGTACAGGATATCCACCAGGGCTCCCTTCTCGGCAAAACTGATGAGCAAGCCCTTGACCACCTCCTCATACTCGTCGACCACGATTCCTTCCACCTGAACGACATTCGGGGTGCCCTGCAGTGCGTGGAGGGCGTTGATCTCGTACAGGAATTCATCCACCGTGTCCGGTCCGGGGATCTCCTTCTTGATGAAGGACCTGCCATCCAAGCGCACGTTGTAGACAAACCCCGACAGATGCGCTTCGAAATGCAAACGCTGTTCGGAGACCAGTCGAGCCTCGGGCAAGTGGCCGATGCACGAGGCCGGCGGGTAAGGGATGATTTCGTTGACGTCCTCGGTGACGTGCACGTGTAAGCGTCCGTCGCGGGTCTCCAGCTTCAGATTGGTGACGGTGTCGTAGAACTGGATATCGGGCAGCGACTCGCGGATGGACTCGTAGATGCGGGCACATTTATCCCGCTGGTAGCGCAGTTCCTTCAAATCCTGCTCGAGGGAGTCGGGAGGGGCGCCACGGTAGTCGCAGGAGATGGTGACGCGACGCCATCGATTGGGGGCTTCGGCGTAGGTGACGAAGAATTTTTCACGCTCGGAGCGGTCGCGGAAGTGCATGCTCAGGTTCAAAATCCACCGCTTCTCCAGTTCCATCTCGATGATATCGTCGGGTGGCTCTTCGGGAACATCCGTCACGTCGGGGCAAGGGTTCCATTCCGAACGGAGATCGTCGTCCTCATTCGTCTCGGGCAGTTCCTCAACCGTGGTCTCGTCCGCGTGGTCGCCGCACCAGGCAACCTCGGGTGCGGATAATCTGGGGTCCACGGCGGGCTGTGGAGACCTGGACCTGCTCCTCTGGGAGTGGGAACTTAGCGTGCGCCGGCGGTCGGCGGACACAGCACGACGGGGCTCCGGATCGAGGGGGGCTAGATTATCTCGACGCTCGGAGTTCTGCCTCCTGAACGTGGTCGCTCGAGGCAGGCCGACTCCCACCTTCCGCGACAGTCGACGGGTGAGCGTATCGTGCGGTTTGGGGGGAGGGTTAACGTTGGAGTTACTGTTGAGGGGGGCGTTGTTGGCGTGAGGATTGGGAGGATTGTGTCGATGTCGAGGCGATTGTTGCTGACTGTTGTTGTTGGGCGAAGGGGCAGAGCCGGCAGGCGGCTGGGAGGAAAAATCGCGATCATCACGGCCCAGCCATCTGCGCAGGCCCAAGCGATGCCACATGCTCTGTTTTGGACGAGGGGGTTCAACCTGATCCGGATCCAGCAACAATCCCAGGGACCGGTTCGGGCTACAAGAACTGTCTGCGATAGAGACGGCCATACGGCATGACCCGAATGGCAGTTAGTAGTGATGATGGTGGTGTTGTGGTTGTTGTGGTGGTGGTCGTTATCGGTCGTGCGAGGAATGAGTAGGACGCCCCGGCGGCCGAAACAGTGCTGTCCATAAGAATTGAGGCGAGATCAACTTGTAGAATAATTTTTTTAAGCCCCTGAGATCAGCAGTGTGGGATTCTTGCTCGCCGGGACTAAACGGTCTGGGGCCCTTTGACTAGGAAGAAGGGGGGCCGGGGGAGTCACAGTGACAGTCAGAAAGGGGAGAGAGAGAACAGAGATAGAGAAGAGAGAGCGATCAAGAGAAATGAGATAAAATCAACGGAATCAGGAAACAATAGTGGAAAATTAAACTTTTCTTTGCTTTGCTTTTTTTTAGACAAATCAACGGGGGAAATTGGACACAGCAAAATCCCGTCAATATCGGAGAAGTCGGTGAGTGTTTGAGTTGTTCTTCAGGATCTTTTTTTTAATCTTTAATTATTTTTCTGGCATCGATCAGCCCAGTCCGGGTTGTACAAGGCAGACAAGCGCAACGAGGACATGGAGCGAGTACGATCAATTGGATGGCATTGCCCAAGTGTCAGAGGTAGGGAGTCCCAAGGGAAGGGGGGCAGGAGGGAAGAGGGAGAATGAAGAGGCTGGTCGAAGTCAAGGGACAACACTCCATTGAAGAGGAAGCAGAGAGGTCTGAATGGACGAATTCACCGCCTCGAATGGAGAGAGATGAAGAGGCAAGAAGCGAAGGAAGAGAAAGTCTGGATGAATCGTCGATTTGGAGACGCGCCGGCGGCTGCACGGCGGCCTGACAGTGCCTGATTTTGAGGAATAGTACGGATACCTTATAGTTAAGTTAGTTGGGAGTATACAATACGGTCCAGTTGGAATATGAACTATTACTGTACACTTAGTTAACTACAAAAGATCAATTGAGTCATACTCCGCCATGACGTATCGACTCCATATCCAAATAACATGATAAAATCCCAGGTTCCCAACATTTCGCTCCCCCCAGCCATCGGTTTCTCACCAGTCACCCTTCTCGCTATTGTCGGGCAAAAGCGATCCAGGAAAAGGAAAAGGAAAAGGATTAAATGATATAAATAAATAAAATTAAAACCCAATCCAATCCCGAAATCTCCACTCCTGCAGACGCACAGCCCAATTCCTTCTCGAAGCCTTTCCCTTCCCATGAGGTGGCGCCAGCAGTCCTACCGTACCAACTGATATAATAACATCAGCCATTCCCCGGTCGGTCGTTATCAGGGTTGTCCCCTTCAGTGTTTGATTGATTGATTGACCGAGTTACTATGAAGTATTAAGGCCCGGGATCCCCTCCTCTGCCCGAGCGTATCGCTTCACCCGCCAAACCAGACCCGGAGGCGGGCCAGTTGTCACTTCGACTATCATCCTACACTCCGACCAAAAAAAAGGGGGTTATCTATGCCCCCGTCCACTTCATCTATCGGCAGAACATGAACATGACGTACCAGGGAAGGAAGGA